ACACACACACACACACACACACACATATATATACAGTAGTTGTCCCTCATTTAACCCGGGCTTTTATATATATGTATGTATAAAGCATGTCATGAGCTCGGCTCTCGGCCACCTGCCAGTGCTCTTGGCTATGCCCACTTCTTCTCTTGGCCACGCCCACTTCTCCACTGCAGAGCACAGGAGGGCGCTTCTCCCTGCTGCACTGCAGCACCTGCTGCGCCTGTGAGGGTGTTCGGTTCTGTTGACAGGGCAGGACACCCTCCTTGAATAATGGTAAGAGAAACACTGTACGTATGTATGCAGTGTCCCCCCCACCATTATCCAAGGAGGGTGACCCGCCCTGTCAACAGAACCAAGCGAGCGCCCACCTACCAAACCCCCACAAAGCTCCGTCACTTTTGGACAGGGAGCGGACATTGTAGCAGCTGAGGTCAGACTCCAAACTGGGACAAGCGCGCCCAATACGAACGTGGCGCTCTGCTTCTCTTCTCCAACAAGCCTGTCAACAACTGTCAGCAAACAAAGTGCTACGCCAACCAACCCCCACCTCCCAACAGCAGCGCACAATACAAACCAGTGTTTCCCCTAGTTTACTTGCCTTGGTAGGGTGCTCATATGTTCCACGATTATTGTCGACCGGGGGCACGTCTGTGTTGCAGTTTGTACTGGGGTGGGTTTACACAGTTCAGCGTGAGGGAAACGCAGCCCTTTTTAGCTAGCACGCCTGTATTGCACGAGGATAGCTTAGCGCTGCGCCGGCAGTTGTCGTGGTGGGGGACAGTTTGATAGGCAAGGCACTTGGTTCTGTTGACAGGGCGGGGAGCCCTGCTTGTATAATGGTAGGGGAAACAATACAAACGTAGCGCCCATTGGTGGTAACCCAATTTTTGAAGGAACCTTTCTTTTGCCTAGATGCAGCCACTCATGGAAGTCAGTAGCTCTCCTATTTTTCAAAGCATCATACTCACAACATGCACAGACGGAGGGTATCTCCAATTTCCCTGTTTCATTCTGCGATGGGGGACAAGACATGAGGATGACCATCAACACCAGTCTTAAAACCATCAGGAGAAAACGTCCTAAAAGCTGCATCACTCTGTGTCATCCTGTCATGTTGGAAATCTGAGGAAACGCTTGTTCAGGGAGGAAAGCTAAAACTCACGGAGACGTCGTCGACGGGGCAGAGCAGCAGGTCTCTGTGGGGGTCACTGTGGATCTGAGCCTTCCTCTGAAACACCACGGCCTCATAGTCGAGCGGTTCGATGATCTTCGGCTGTTCCTTTAAAGAGACAAGAGAGCAAACCAAAATGTTACAATCAAATAAACAAAGCAGTTTCTCTGTAATCTCTTATCAGACGTGCTCGTGTTCGCTGGGCCTGTTCACCACAGCAGACATGCAGTGTGGGCTGCTCAGAGAAGTCTGGGGAAATATTTTCATACAAATAAAGAATAAGATGAAAAATAAAAGCATTCAAAGCAAGCTAAAATAAAAGACTTGCATTCCTTGAAAGAATAAATTTCACCTTTGATGCCAGAGGTTTGGACTGAGTTCATCATATGTTGAGAAATAATGAAGTTGTAGCCGTTTTGGTCAAAACTTATGAAAAACATAATGATGTCACGCTCAGAATATGTGTTGTAAATTACTCTCAGCTGCAACCACCTAATTTTAGCTCAATATCTGTAAAACTGAATGAATGATAGGCATTTCTGTGTTTTCTAAGGTCAGTTGGCTGTGGCGTCCATCTTGATCTTGGCTGACTCCAAATGTTAAAAAGTTTCACACATACATCCAATAATTAATTCCTGAAAGTTTAATTAAAAGCCATTCAGTGGTTCATGTGATATTTTGCTAACAGACAAACAGAGTTAATACTAAAATTTAAAGCAAAGCTCTTGTAAATTGAGTAGCATTTGAAGTCTGTGTTGTTAATGACTCTCAGCTACTACCATCTCAAATTATAACTCAACATCTGTAAATCTGACTGAACTCCACACATTTTTGTGATTTTTAAGATCAGTTGGTTATGGTAGCAAACCTAAATCAGGTCAACTTAGAATGGTAGTCAGTTATCGTTGCACGTCCAATTGTTATTTCCTGAAAATCTTAATAAAATCTGTCCTGTGGTTTATGAGATATTTTACTAACAGACAGGCGAGAACATTGTCTTCCTTCACCTTTCAGCTGTAGCCGATAAACAGCAAGAAGGGGATGAAAAGGAGCAGCGAATAATTTGTGCACAAGTAGTCATGTAAAAATAATAATAAGTTTTAAAAAAAGTCATTGTATCACATGGTACCATACAACCACTTCCTGTTTTGAGTTTCATAGAGAAGTGGATGAAATGAAATAAGCCTTGTGTCTTCAAGAGGCCTCCAAGCTGGTTATAATGTGATTAAAAATAAAAACTTAAACCAAAAGGAGATTTTAGTTCCAGCTGAAGCTAAGCAGAGATAAAGTGATGAGGAGCTCAGCTGTAAGCTCAGAGCTGAAACATTCAGAACAGATGTGCGGCTGAGCTCGCCCTGCAGCTGGGAGGACGAGTCCGACTTCACACGTCCAGCTGCCAAGTCCTAATCAGCTTCGCTGTGCAACTTTAACTTTGCAACTGCAACTGTTTTCAGTCAATAAACACGTCTTTTTCTGACAAAGCCTAAATTTGATCAGAAATTTTTCACATGCTCTAATAACGTCACAGTGACTTGACTTCCCTCTCGTGTTCCTGAGGAAAAATTGTCCACTTTGAAATACACTAAATACAAAGTGCAATCGCATATTTATCATAAGGCAGCACGGTGGATCAGTTGGTAGAGCTGTTGTCTCTCAGCGAGAAGGCTGCCGGGTCAAATCCTGGAAGGGGACCGTTCTAGGTGGAGTTTGCATGTTCTCTCCGTGCATGGGTGGGTTTTCTCCAGGTACTCCAGTTTCCTCCCACAGATCAAAAACATGCATGTTAGACTGACTGGTAACTAAATTATTCTAGGTGAGAGAGAGAGTGAATGGTTGTCTCGTTTGTCTCTCTGTGTCCCTGTGATGGACTGGAGACCTGTCCAGGGTTGACTTCAACATGATAAAAGTCAAGTCGACGTCGAATAGTCAATGTGACGTCATAGGAACTCAAGACGCTATTTACAAAAGAAAACGTCATTTATTATTTACAAAATAAAAAAGAACAAAACATCGGGAGTGTATATTTATGCTCCTACCATTTATCATATTGCAAATACGTCACAGGAAAACCAAAACTAGTATTAAGCTGCAAAAGTTACGTTTTATCTTATTTAATCCACTAAATAAAATAAACCATTGCGGCAGTGGTCCACCGGCGGTGGTGTGCCCCCTGTTTTTATTTTTATTTTATTTACTGGGTTATATAAAAATAAAAACTATCCACCACCGGCAGTGGTGTGCGGTGGTCAATTCTCCACTGGCGGTGGTGCACTCCCCAGTTTTGAGGTTTATTTTATTTAGAGGATTAAATAAAATTAAAATAAAAACAGCATAGCGGGGGTTGGTGTTATCTACCACGGGCGGTTGAACCGGAAGAGTCATCTTTAGTGAAATCCTTCCACGACGTTGATGAATTTCTACTTGTTTGGCAAGACCTGGCCTGCTCCTCTCCTTCCATCTGCTTGGAATCTGTTTTGTAGCCATCGGTCCGGCGCTGAACACGTGAAACAATCACGGATTGCGAATAGTTGACGTGAAATTTTAAAAACTCGCGAGATGTCCTAGAATCGACTAGTTGACTCGTCTATTCAACCCCTAGTCCAGGGTGCCCCCCGCCTCTCGCACAGCGACTGCTGGACAGAGGCACCAGTGATCCCCGCGACCCAAAAAGAAGAAGCAGGTAAAGATGATGGATGGATGGATGGATGGATGGATGGATGGATGGATGGATGGATGGATGGATGGATGGATGGATGGATGGATGGATGGATGGATGGATGGATGGATGGATGGATGTATTAGG